CCAAAGCTATACAAAATAGAAATTTATAAATATACATTGAGAATTATGCAGTTTTTACACAACAATGGGCAGGTCAATGTTTCAAGTTGTCTAACTCTTTCCCAGTGGCTCCCATCCAGAACTGGCAGCAGTGCAACCTCTGAAAGTTCAGCAGCACAAAGGGCAACCCTTTTCCCAATCTCGTGGCACTAGGGCCTGCAGCAGGTGCTGGTGTGGGGCAATGACGAGGAGTGAGGACCTGCAGAAAACATTGATTGGGATGACTGCTCCCAGAAGCGATGAGAATGGCAGGCCGGGTTCAGCCATGGCTTGAACCTGGGACTGTATTTAAACTCGCCAGGCCAAGAACTGCCAAGGGCTCAATCACAAACTCCGAAGGGTTGGCACAGATTCAGTCTAATTTGGGGAATCCAGTTTGTTCATTATTGTCCCCTCTTTAGTTCTGGGCAAAGGGACAGAGTGTCCCAGAGAACAGTGATGCTAGGGGGACACACAGCCTGCTGGCAAGCCCCCAAGTTTCTCCAGTTTTCACATTCACCATGAGAATGGACAATTATGAGATGACTATACTTAAATATGGCCCTTAGGCTTCTAACCCAGGGAACAGCGTGTTTATCCAGTGGTAACTTCCAGGTGTTTACAGGCATCTTTCTTCCTTCCAAGATCAAAGGATATCAGCCTGCCCAGCATCTTCCTTAAAAACTTCTTTTCTGGTTTGTTGAGTACATCCATTATGAAGCCATCTTTCCCCAGGACGCAGAGGTTGAGCAGATGCAGATCTGCTTCCTGGAGAACACCTCAGCCTAGACTGCGGGCTTCTCGCAGCCCACACCCACCGCAAGGTGGGAACGTGGCCTTCCGTCCACACCGGCCTTGCGGCAAACCAGCGAACCTTTTCAGCTTTCAGAAGACAAGGCCAAACCCAGCCCTCAGAATCCCACCGCACCAAATCCTTCTCCTACAGCTTAAAAATCTATGTCTCCTTTATCAGTCACAGCATAACACAGCCAACGCCCAGGCTCTTGTCAGAGAGCCCTTTTCCCGGGAGGGGCAGCACTTAGAAGTTCCCAAAGCACAGGCTCCACAGAGGGATGACAAATGACTGACCACAGAGGGGACAGAGAGCAGTGCCCCACATCAAACGCCGACCAGAGGATCAGCGCCACTCTGGCATGTCAGTGTCCTCCACATTGATGAGAATGTGATGAGCTCGCAACTCCTGCCAGCCCTGGGTCAAAGCTGTGACGTGTGGCCTCCTGTGGCCAGCGTGTTGAGGGGGTGCAGAGTCACTTCCATCAGCTCAGCGGGGCACTTGGAGCCCAGGCGAGGAGAGAAGTAAGAATGAGGTCCTGACATGATAAATTAGTGCGACAAATTGTGAGTCAACAAAAGGGATCCCGACATCCTGAAACTCACCCCGGGCAGGCAGGCAGTGTTCTTGGTATTACAGCAAGCACGGCGGCAAAGAACCCTTCTTTCCTGCCACGTTCCCTGGTCTTCTGGGTTTCAAAGCAATCAAGTCCTATGATGATAAATGAAGTCCCCGGCTGCTGCTATGCCCGAGGTACATGCTCGCTGATTAAGAAGCCTCATTATTACCATCTTTCCCTCAACCCAGGACTACAAAGTGTGAACCACCTCCAACCCATCTACAGCGCAGTGGGACTGTTTCTTCAGAGCAGATCGGCAACGTTCACAGGCATTTCATCAATCTGAGTGGAGTAGTACTGTTCAAGATCTCGGAGGATGCGGATGTCGTCGTTCTTTACAAAATTGATGGCCACACCCTTTCGACCATATCGACCTGACCTCCCAATTCTGTGTATGTACAACTCTCTGCTATTGGGCAGGTCGTAGTTAATGATGAGGGACACCTGCGGGACATCCAAGCCCCTGGCCCAGACGTCTGTGGAGATGAGCACTCGGCTGGCGCCGGCCCGGAACTCCTTCGCGATGCGCTCGCGCTCCTTCTGCGGCATGTCTCCGTGCATCGAGCACACGGTGAAGTTGGCTTCTCTCATCTTCTCTGCCAGCCAGTCAACCTTCCTCCTGGTGTTACAGAAGATGACCGCCTGCGTGATGGTCAGTGTGTCGTAGAGATCACACAGGGTGTCAAACTTCCACTCTTCTCTTTCCACTGCCACAAAAAACTGTCTGACGCCTTCCAGAGTCAACTCATCACGTTTTAGCCGGATTCGGATGGGGTCCGTCATGAACTTGGTGGTCATTTCCAGGATTTCCTGGGGCAGCGTGGCACTGATAAGGACCACCTGTGTGGCCGGAGGCAGGTACCTGTACACGTCATAAATCTGGTCTTTGAAACCTTTATTCAACATTTCGTCAGCCTCATCCAAAACCAACATCTTGATAGCTCGTGTCCTTAAACTTCCTCTACGAATCATATCAAAGACGCGCCCTGGTGTGCCTGCGACGACGTGCTGTCCGTAATCCAGCCTCCTGATGTCCTCGGCCACATTGGTGCCCCCCATGCAGGCGTGGCACTGGACGTTCATGTAGTCGCCGAGAGCAAGCAGGCCCTTCTGGATCTGCACGGCCAGCTCTCGCGTGGGGGCCAAGATCAGAGCCTGGGCTTCACGAACCTGAGTATCCAAGCACTGAAGGACTGAAATAGTGAAGGTGGCTGTTTTACCTGTGCCAGACTGAGACTGTGCGATGACGTCTCTCCCTTTAATTATCTGCTTGGTAGCTCGCTGTTGGATCGCTGAAGGGTTTTCAAACCCGTAGGCGTAGATGCCGCGCAGCAGGTCCTCCCGCAGGCCCATAGTGTCGAACGTGGGGGTCACGTCCACCTCCTCGCTGGTCTCGAATTCCACTGTGCTCATGTCTGCCTCTTTGAGCAGCCGCTTCCGCGCCGAGCCCGAGGTCGTCATCGTGACAAAACACAGATGATGTCGCCTTCAGTCAATTCTTAAGGACGCCCTCCCAGGAAGATCCAGGCGCTGTCCTTGTACTCGGAGTGCCAGGACACCTTCTCCGGCACCCCAAGCAGAACCTCTCGCTCATTCAGCTCGCTGATCAGCGTCACCTTAAAGGGTTCACCTTAGCAGGTTCCCGGTCGTCCCAACTGCTCAGCTTCCAGAGGAGGCTGCCTTCTCTCCAGTCTTATATTCGGTTCTTGGATCACACATAACCAATCACCTATGAGCATGCAAGATTATCCGATTAATGGTGGGATTAGTAGGATCAGCCAATAAGCTTCTCATGAATCCAATCTGCAGTGGATTTTGCCTCAGGGACCCCAGGCGGGGGCTTTTCCCTATCATTAGGATCAGCCATAAACTTCACAGATATCCAATCAGTGGATTGTGGATTTTGCCTCAGGGCTCCCAGGTGTAGGGGCTTTTCCCTATCCTAAGAACATCCCACAACCGGCCGGTCGTGGTGGCTCACGCCTGTAATCCTAGCACTCTGGGAGGCCGAGGCCCGGTGGATTGCTTGAGGTCAGGAGTTTGAAACCAGCCTGAGCCAAGAGCAAGACCCTGTCTCTACTCTAAATAGAAAGAAATTAATTGGCTAATTTTTTCTATGTTATTTGGCCAGGCTTGGTGGCACATGCCTGTAGTCCTAGCTA